AAGTTTGTAAAACATATTCACTTTATTGATCTTTGACTTTAGTGGTTTGTGTGTAAATTTGGATAATAGTCCTATTTACTGGTCTTCTTTTTAGGCGTATGGATTTTATCCTGTCTGTGGTAGTTCAGTTTGTGTGTCAACTTGACTAGGCCTGGTTGAGTGGCTGGGCAGCTGGATGTAAATATTCCCCATGATGAGACTGGTAATCAACTCCATGGTGGAATCTACTGAGTGGCTGCTTTAGGGATGTAGTCTGCTTCCTGTATAAGCAGAAGCTTTGGGGAATGGTCTCTAGCTTATGGCACACTTGGACCCTGCATGTAGCTGTGTCGTTGTTCAGCAGCCTGCCATGCTCTGCTGACCTTGGGACTTACAATGGCCTTAAGTTAATGGCCTGCGGTGTGGTTTGGTAAAATTGGGACTGTGTCTTTTTATTTGTTGATCTTGGGTTTGTCAGCCTCAGTAGCCAACAGCTGTCTGAATGAGGAAATGGCTCTAGCTCCAGTGGGCTGGGAGCAGGAGGCAGAACCAGACCCCAAGGTTGAGGGGCTTTCACCCAGGCCCTAGAGCCTGGCACTTTGAACTTGGACTTAAAGTCTCCAAACCATAAGAGAACAAACTCCTGTTTGTTTAAACCATCCCATTTGTGGTATATTCTTGTCAGAGTGGCACTAGGTAACCAGAACACTATCACTGACAGTGTTGCACATCAGGATAGATCCTTAAGTGTTCTCTTGGAGGATGAGTGCCATTTGTCATTCCTGGCATCGTATACCATATGACTGACTGTCCAATTCAAAAGTCCAATACCAGTCCATTTCAGCTTACTAATGGCTATGATATTGATCTTTTTGTGTTCCATTTCATTCTTGACAACATCCAGTTTTCCTAGATTCGTACTTTGTACATTCTATGTTCCAATTACCAATGGAAATTTGCAGCTGTTTCTTCTCATTTTGACTTGTGGCCCATTAGCAAATAAAAGTCCAGAAAGCTTATTGTATCCATGTCATTAAGGTTGCCTCTACTTTGAGAAGGCAGCTTTTTGCCCTCTATATTTTGAGTGCCTTCCGACCTGAGGTGCTCGTCTTCTGGCACTATATCAGACAATGTTCCACTGCTATTCATAAGGGTTTACTGAACAATTTTAGAGGTAGATTGCCAAGTCCTTCTTCTTAGTCTGTTTTAGTCTGGAAGCTCCACTGAAACCTGTCCACCATGGGTGCCAGTATCTGAAATGCTGGTGGCATAGCTTCCAGCATCACAGCCACACACAAACCACCACAATACAGCAAAGTGACAGATAAATTGTGAATAAAACCAAAATCCATTGCCATCGAGTTGATTCCAACTTACAGTGACCCTTTCGGATACAGAGTATAACTGGGTTTCTTAGGCTGCAAATCTTTACGGAAGCAGACTGCCTCATTTTTCTCCCACAGAGCACCTAGTGGGTTCAAACCACTAGACTTTTGGTTAGCAGATGCTTTACCACAGCACCACTAGAGAGTTACTTAAGTGGTCAATGTTGTTATTGTCGTCATGTGCCATTGAGTTAGACTCGACTCATAGTGACCCCTCCTTGTGTTTCTGAGGCAGTATCATTGCGGAAGTAGATTGCTCAACCTTCCTTCCGAGGAGTGGCTGGTGGGTTTGAACCACCAGCCTTCTGGTTAGCAGTCAAGTGCTTTAGGCACTATGCTACCAGATATCCTAAATTGTACTAAATGTGCTTTACGTAATCACAACATATTCATGTCATTTTTAAGTTTTTATAGTACAAGGAACTAGATACTACATTGTATCACTCTCTATTTTATTTCAAGTTTATAAACTTCTCAAAATATTGTGAATTCTCTTAATGTCAAGGGTCCTCATTAAATTTAATACAACAGGTACTTTATAAGGTCCTAAATTTTTTTAGCCTAAGAAACAAATTGATGGTTACCTCCTTTCCTTTTTCTTATTCATAATTGAGAAAAGAATTAAGAACAGCAAAGAGATCGAAAAGTAAATGATTACTTTTCAGAATAGTTACAGGGTATAGAAAATTCTCTATAATTAATCATATCCAAATATCTAAATGTCTTTGTAGACCAGTTGTTTTTGATACTGTTAAAATGCTCCCTCTTTCACAGGTGCCCCACTAACTTCTTCAAGCTTTGCTTTTAAGCCCAATGGGCTTGTTACAACAGTGACTGGGCATAGACTTGCTGGCTCAGATCCATCAATAACTTGAAAAGAATAATTAATTCTGATAGTAATTCCCTAATCTAATCTTAAGTGGTACCATATCTAATATCGTGGATCTTAGAGAAGTTTTCCCAGAAACAAAGCCCAAAAAAATATTTGGATGTAGTGATTTATTGAAGGAATGCTCTCAGGAAAAACAGACCTACGAAACCAGAATAAGCAGAGGAAGGTTCTAAACAAGGATAAGGTTTCAGCTGGAGTCTGACTTCAACTTAATCCTTTGGGGAGCTCTGGAGTCTGAATTTGCACCAAAAGGTTGGCAATCTTTGAGACGAGAACCTTTTGTGTGTCCCCACCTTCATCAGTCACCATCATTGCCGGTAGAGAGGGGCAAGCGTAACCTCCCTGGCAAGGTTGCTGCTGCACTTCAGCTGACCACAAGTCTCTGGAGAAGAAATTAGCTGTGAGCTGCTAAGAAACTAACACAGCCTCTAGGAGATGCATTCACCGACCCGTTAAAGGGGTTGGGCAGCATCCACTATACCTTGCCATGCTGTCTTCCTTCTTGACTAAACTATGAAGAAGAAAAATGATGAGATATCAAGAATATGCCAGTTTCATATGAGCACAGTTAATAAAAGAAAAACAACCTATGTTGATAGTTCTATGGTTGGAGGGGAAAAAAAATGATGTATGTACATATATGGCCTTGATGCCCCAAGCTTTGTCTTCATACCTTGTCTGATTTCCACACTTCAAGGATCCTAAGCTGAATATTCCCAACTGAATCTGTCACTTTTTTCTTTTGGTATCTTTCCAAATACAATAGCAAAGTTACTACATATTCTGTTCCATAGCTGTAGGAAAAATTTTCCATAACTGAGATCCTGGACAGTACAGTAAATCTGAAAATATCTATTATGTAAACACCATATCTTTGATGGGCACTCTGGTAGTGCTAAGGCACCTGACTGCTAACCAGAAGGTTGGCGGTTCAAACCCACCAGCCACTCCTCGGAAGGAAGATTGGGCAATCTACTTCTATAGTGATACTGCCTCGGAAACCCAAGGAGGAGTCGCTATGAGTTGGGTTTGACTCGACAGCACATAACAACAACATATCTTTGCTGTCTTAATATAAATGTATAGTAACATATAGGAAGGAAAAATATAATATTTTATTATATTCTAAGGCATAACAAAATATTTAACCATAAAGTACATAAAGTTTGAGAAATGTTTAACACAAAATACTATTAGCATAGCACAAAAGTTAATGAAATATTCTACAATGGTAGCAAAACATGTATATTTTTTTTTCTTAATTTGTTTTAACTCAAAGTAGAAATCAAGAAATAGCTAATTTAAAAAAGATTTTTGTAGTGTCATTTAATGTTCCATTTTGTCTTCACATCTGAAAAGTCTTCCTCACGGTAATGATTTTAAAGCATTATGTATTTAATTGGTTTTTAAGATCTATACAACTATCTGTGAGCTATGATCACAATTTGCCTCCTGTCAGTAAGACTTAGCAGGTATAGTTAGTAGAGAATTAAGATGCTAAACATAACTCTGTGAAAGATTTAAAGTTAACCAGTTAAAAAAATACTTTGTGTGTTTTATATCTGTAAAGAGACCGGGGACTTACTAGTCCGTGTCTCCTTTCCTATTAAAGTCATGACATGCTGTGGATAGTACTAGCATTCAGCTTTGTTATATAATGAGTAAATCAGATACATCAAAATAGATTTTTGTGTAGAAGGTGGAATAGAACTGCTTTGATAAGATAAAGGGTGTCAATCACTGTGAGCAATGACCTCAATGGGAAATGAAACACAGCTTGTGATGCCTGGACATGGCTTTCCAGGTTCAGAGTCGCTGCTCTTTTTTATTTCTTCCCACAGCATACCCTCCAAACCTCAGAATGGAGATAATAAGGCAATGTATAAAATCAGTTATTGATATTTTACTTAGCATTAAAACATCAGAGGCAGACATTAGGATGTTATAACAAATAAACAACCCTGCCTATCTCCTAATTTTTTAAAAAAATTTGCCACCCCACTAACAAAATTCACATTACTGAAAAACAACAAATGAAAGTCTAAGCAGAAAGCAAACAATATACTTTAGAAAAATCTTTAATGTGTTGTTTTGAACAATTCTATGAAACTTAAATATGTAATTATATTTTCTATTAACCCATTTCATTGTTAAATTCTTCTCTCAGGGCTTAGTGGTTTTATGATTATCAGTGATGCTAAAGAATTCTCAGCACGTATCACCAAATCATAGTTGGTTGTAAAACATCTCCAGTATCTTCAAAGAAAAAAAAAAAAAAAAAAATGAGCACTTGGACAAGGGAAGGTATGTTACATAGAGATGGCTTTTTTGTTTTTATTTTTATTTTGTTGGCAGTTCAATTCAATTGATTTCAACAATATTTATTGAGCACCTACTATGTACCAGGCACTGTACTAGATTCTGGGGACACAAAGATGAGTAAGACATGGTCCCTGCCCCCAAGGAGCTTACAGTCTCTTGAGGGCAAACAAAATGTCAGTAATGTATTAAATACAGGGCCTTTAAATACAATGGTATGTCATTATTTGTAATGAAAAGGCAGACAATTAAAATGATGACCATTTTTTATGTGATAAAACAGTAAAACCATTAAGACCTAACTCTTAAAGATTCACATGATAAAGTACTAAAAATTTACACCACAGTTTTCAAGTATTTCATACTTAGAAATATTATTGCCCACATTTGTGCTATAGTCAGACTCATAATTCCAGGTTATTGCATCATTCACATCTCAGCATGCTGGGATTCAGTTTCTCACTGAGTTTATGAATTAAAATGGCTAACTCCTCAGTTGCTTGGCTCTTGTCCTCCAAAAGTTCATAACGAAGACTAGAAATATCTTGCTTGATTTCTTTTAATTCACCTACAGTATTGGCATTAAAAATATAATTAGTAATTTGCTCTTTGGATTCAGAAAGGAACAAGGAGTTAAATTCATATAATACAAATACATTTGCTTCATAAAATCTTCAAGATATCTATTTCAGCTTCATAAAAATTTTTTAAGCAATGCTTGTCTTTACAATTGCTTACTTTTGAAAATACAGTTACCTTTGAAAAAAGCTGTAAAAATAGTTATGTTTTAGTAGTAAAAATTGAGTTAAAGTGTTGACCTGTGGATCACTCAACTTTTAACAAAGGGTGATTTTTCTGATAACTGATCAAAGGCTTCAAAATGCTCTTTCTAGTTGACAGTTTAATAGGATCCCCAGGTGGTTCTTATAGATCCCAAGGTTATTCTTGTTAAAACATAGACCTGGAGATCTTGTTAAAATGTATATTCTGATACACTGCCATTGATCTTAACAAGTGAACCTTGGGGCAAAAATTTACCTTGAATCCAAACAGTGATTCTTTAAGTCACTGACAGGTTGGCTTAGCATTTTATAATAGAGTTGCAGGAGCTCTGGTAGCATAGTGCCTAAGGCACTTGACTGCTCACCAGAAGGCTGGCGGTTCAAACCCACCAGCCACTCCTCGGAAGAAAGGTTGGGCAATCCTACTTCCGTAGTGATACTGCCTCAGAAACCCAAGGAGGGGTCGCTACGAGTCGGGGCTGACTCGACGGCAAACAACAACAACAACAACAATAGAGTAGCATGTAAAACACACCTTTCATGGTATTTCCTGGTATCTTTATGATGCCTTAAGTATAATTCCTATGTTCTATTTTATAAGCATAAGAACTTTTTGTTTTAAAGAATTCTAACTCTTCCTTTTGTGGCCAAAAAAAAATTGTTTTTTCTTCCTTTAATGTTGTTGTTGTTATGTGCTGTCGAGTAGGCCCCGACTCATAGCGACCCCTCCTTGGGTTTCCGAGGCAGTATCACTAGGAAGTAGGATTGTCCAACCTTCCTTCCGAGGAGTGGCTGCTCCTTTAATGTATGACAATATAAAGGGAATTGTTGTTGGTTGCTAACAAGCAAGCTCCAACTCATGGCAACTCCATGTGCAACAGAATGAAATGTTGCCCAATCCTATACCATCTTCAATATAATTGCTGTTTTTTGAGTCCACCATTGTGGCTACTCTGTATTTTGAGTACCTTCCAACCCAGGGGCTTCATCTTCTAGCACCATAGTTATATCAGACAATTTCGGTTGTGATCCATGTGGATTTTACTGGCTAATTTTCAGAAATACATCACCAGGCCTTTCTTGCTATTCTGTCTTAGTCTGGAAGCTCTGCTGAAACCTGTGCACCATGGATTACTTTGCCGGTGTTTGAAATCCCAGTGGCATGGCTTCCAGCATCTTAGCAATATGCAATCCATCATAGTACGAGAAACTGACGGATGGTGGATAAAGTGAATAAACTTATCTAATTTGAAATCACAAGACCACCCTTTGGAATAAGAAATAGGTTTTCACTCTGTTCAGTTTTATATTTAGGCCATAGTCTTGTGAACCCTCATTATCTTCCTATTACCACGTCCTACTTCCTTTTTCTGGAGTCATAGGAGACCACATACTAAATATTGTACATAATCTGCCAAATAATTTCTTGGGGCTTCAGTTTCCTCATTTACTACATGAGGAGGTTATGCTAATGATCTACTTTTTTATAGTTAGAATTTTGTTCAAAACTCCAAATTCTCATTAATTTATTTCCTCTCTTGTGCAAGAGCCTGGAAGATGCTCCTTGTTTTCCATGTTACAGTTGTCCAATTCCCCTTTAATCAGTTTTTCCAGGGAGGTTTTGGTACTACTAAAGAGTCCTGGTGGTGCACTGATGAAAGCATTTGGCCACTAACCAAAAGATTGGAGGTTCAAACCCACCAGCTACCATGGGAGAAGGATGTGGCAATAGGCTTCCATAAGGATTTGTAAGCCTTGAAAACCCTAGAAGGAAGTTCTACTCTGTCCTTACAGGGTCACTATCAGTTGAAATTGACTAAATAGCAATAGGATTAATTGATAGGGTACAACTGATCAGGTTTCTGTTTTCTAAATTACAATCTTGTTCCATTCCTGTCTCCCTAATTGGATTTTTGCTCATTCTCCAACTCCTCAATCACACCTTAACAGATGTCTTTTTTTACATACACATACTGAATTTTTATGCAAATATTAGGCACCATATATTTTTGCCAATTGTGCAAAACTTCCACACATTTTCATAAGCAGGCTATGCCAACTTTTGTTTTTTCTTTTTTAACATATTGCTGACTTAAATTTCTATTATCATATGGGAATTTCACTTAAGTAGGTATTGTTGTTGTTGTTATGTGCTGTCAAGTCAGACCCAACTCATAGCGACCCCTCCTTGGGTTTCCGAGGCAGGATCACTATGGAAGTAGATTGCCCAACCTTCCTTCCAAGGAGTGGTTGGTGGGTTTGAACCACCAGCCTTCTGGTTAGCAGTCAAGTGCCTTAGGCACTATGCTACCAGAGCTTTATCAACTTAAATTTATAGAAACAAATGCACACTTTATATTGTTTATTTTCTGATTACAAGGGGTATACCAAAATTGATCCATGATTTCTTGACCATAGCTTATACCTTTTCGGAAGGAAGGTGGGGCAATTTACTTCCATAGTGATACCACTTTGGAAGCCCAAGGAGGGGCGCTATGAGTCGGGTACAACTCAATGGCACATAACAACAACAACAACAGCTTATACCTGTATTATACAATTATGATCAAAAGTAATATTCTCAGACTATTTGTATACACATAAGCAGGAGATTACAGAAAATGAATAGAATGAAAGAAAATGAACAGAATGATATGATTTACCTGTAATATGGGAGGACAGGTGAATGAGGCCAAAATTCACTTCTGGAAATGTCACAAGACAATGCACCGGTATATGTAGGAACATGCTCTGCCAGAACTATTTTACTTAATTTTATCATTTCCTGTGCATTGCATGTGTGGGCATGTTATTTACATGGGTGCATTATTTGCAAAAAATGCAGTATTATTTGGTTGACTCATTTGCAAGGGATTCCTTATATTTATTGATCAAAGCTTATCTTCAAAGCTTCAAAGCCCATTAACAATTTTATTAAGTTTAGCCCTTTCTTCTCTTACCACAAAACAAACAAACTAAATTCACTGCCGTCAAGTCGATTCTGACTCCTAGTGACCCCCTTTGGGTTTCCGAGGCAGTCAATCTTTATGAAAGTAGATTGCTCAGTCTTCCTTCCATGGAGTGGCTGGTGGGTTTGAACCACCAACCCTGTGGTTAGCAGTCAAATGCCTTAGGCACTATCCCACCAGAGCTCCTTTCTTCTCTTACCCAAACCAAAAAAAAAACAAAAAACAAAAAACAAAAAAACCCAAACTCACTGACATCGAGTCAGGTCTGACTCATAGCGACCCCTCCTTGGGTTTCCAAGTTGGCATCTCTATGGAAGTAGATTGCCCAGTCTTCCTTCCAAGGAGTGGCTGGTAGGCTGGTAGGTTTGAGCTGCCAGACTTCCGGTTAACAGTCAGATGCCTTAGGCATTATGTCACAAGGACAGATAAATAATGGCCAGGCTTTGTCTCACCTACTTTGGTCATGTTGTCAGAAGATACTATTCCCCGGAGAAGGATATCCTTCTTGCTAAAGTGGAAGGTCAGCGAAGAAGGGGAAGACCCTCATTGAGATGGATTGACACAGGGGCTGCAACAACAGGCTCAGGTGTAGCACAGTTTGTGGGGCTGGCACAGGATGGGACAGTGTTTTGTTCTGCTGTACATGGAGTTGCTATGTATCAGAGCCAACTCGAGGGCACCTAACAACATAACATTGGTGTTTGTAATAGGTTGAATGGGGATCTTCAAAAAGATATGTCCTTGCCCCTAAACTTTTGAGTGTGCCTTTATTTGGAAAAAAATGGTCTTTGCTGATATAGTTAAGGATCTCCTGATGAGATCATTCTGTAATAGGATGAGGCCTAAATCCACTGACAAATAATAAGATAAGAGAAAGGGAGAAGACACAGAAAGAAAGTAATGTCATTGCAAAGATGGAAGGAGAGATTGGAGCTATGCTGCCACAAGCCAAGGAATGCTTGGAGCCACCAGAAGCTGGAAGAAGCAAGGAAGGATTCTTCACTAGAGCCTTCAGAGAGCTCAGCCCTGCCAACACCTTGATTTGGGACATCTGGCCTTCAGAACTGTGAGGAAATAAATTTCTGTTGTTTTGAGCCACTAAGTTTGTAGCAATTTGTTATGACAAATCTAGAAACTAATACAATGTTAGAAGCTACAAAATTTTGGGGACAATTTATTTCTTCCAGGTTGATTTTTTTTTTTTTTTTTTTTCGACTCTGAGCCTATGCTTTGGCTTACCCCAGCCTTTAATGAAAAATATTTATAGTCCAGATATAAAGCCCAGGATAGCTCAGGATATCCCTAGAAAAAATAGGTGCACTTCAGTAAGGAGCCAAAAAAAGAAGTAAAAAGCAAAGAAAAATACCAGACAAGAAAATCAGGCTAGAGCTTTTTTTCTGGACAACAAAATAGAGGGTTTTCTAAAGAAATGTAGATTCTGAAATGCTCACAATCATTAGCCATTTGAGAGGTGCAAATCAAAACAATGAGATACCATCTTGCCCCAGCACTAGGAGGAAAGTTCAACAAGACAGAAAATAACAAATGCTGGCGAGGATGCAGAGAGATTGGGACTCTCATACACTGCTAGTGGGACTGTCAAATGGTATAACCACTGTGGAAAGCAGTATGGCGATTCCTTAAAAAGTTGGAATTAGAAATACTATTTGACCCAGCCATTCCATTACTAGGTAAATATATCCTAAAGAAGCGAGAGCCAGGACAAGAACAGATATATGCACACCCATTTTCACTGCAGCACTATTTACAATAGCCAAAAGATGGAAACAACCTAGGTGTCCATCAACTGAAGAATGGATAACCAAACTATGGTACATACACACAATAGAATACTATGCAACCCTAAAGAATAACGTTGAATCTGCAAAACACCACATAACATGGATGAACCTGGAGGATATTATGCTGAGTGAAATAAGTCAATCACAGAAGGACAAATATTGTATTAGTCCGTTATTGTAAAAAATCAAGGAAAAGTTTATATATGGAAAGAAATTTTCTTTGTTGGTTACCAGGGGTAGGAGGGGAGAAAAAGGAACACTGTTAGATAGGTAGACACAAGTATTGATTTGGATGAAGAGAAGGGCAATGCACCAAATGTGAGTGATCAACATGGTGGCATTGAGGAAGAGGAAGACATAGAGAGGTACATAGGAGGTACAGACAACAAAGATGAAAACCCTTTTGCAAATACAATAATGTGTTGTCATGAAGGGAAACATGGGTATATGGGTGGATAGATGAGTGGATAGGCTGAATGATTAGGTATGTCTTTGCAGAGGGAGTTTGCCCAAGACTATGTACAGGGTTGGCAAACAATGTTTCTACAAGTGTACTTGTATGTTCTGTAAGAATTCCCATGCATATAGTAGAGCTGACAAGGGACAAGGTTGTAGTCACTTCTTGGCCACAGCTAGCCACCCAGAAGGAGCAAGTAGTTGGACCTGTGAGTTCGGGACCACAGTCGCAGGGGACATCAAGCTGAATTGGCATAACATACTACACAAAACATTGTTCTACATCCCACTTTGGTGAGTAGTGACTTAGATCTTAAAAGCTTGCAAGCAGCCATCTAGATGCAATGATGGGTCTCTCATCCAGAGCAAAGAAGAATGAAGAAAACCAAAGATTCAAGGAAACAATTAGTCCGAGTGTCTAGTACACCACGTGATCCTCAGCCTACACAACTATGAGACCAGAAGATCTAGCTAGTGCCCAGCTACCACTGTCAACCAGTTGGAGGGGGATCTATGTAGGAGATCCTGGAAAGAGTAGGAGAACAATGTGGAACAAAACTCCAAATCATTTGGAAAAAAAAAAGGGGACCAGGTTTGCTGGTCTGATAGAGCCAGATGGAACCACTGAGAACATGGCCCCTAGCTGTCTGTCAGGTCTGAAATTGAACCTAGTCCTGTGGCTTCCAACCAAATAAAAGACAGGCATATGGGGTGAACATTTACATTAGGTAGATATACTCCTTGGAGAGAACAATCACAGGAGAATAGAAAGGCTGTTTATGCACAGGGGCATAGCTCAGGGGGCAGGAGTGAACGGAGGGATGGACACTGGGGAGAAGTAACTACGGGGAGGAAGTTGGAGGGGAGTGGTTGCATTGTGGTAAATTGTGGTCAATGTCATAAGACAAAGTGTATGTGAGCTGCTGTATGGAAAGTGAATTTGCTCTGTAAACTTTCACCCAAATCACAATTAAAAAAAAAAAAAAAATGTAGATTCTATTATGAGTCAACCATTACTTTACCAGTATCACTGGAAAATTGTTATAATTAATTTGAAATCAATGAAACAAACCTGATAGTACTGGCTACCTAATGTAATCTTGTTGTAATAGTAAGTAAAATTTCCCAGAAAGGTGACATTCTTTGCAACCTCAGAATCAGGCATTCGAGGCAGAGGTAAATTGTCTGTTTGAAATTTTTAATAACTATTTCTTAAAAAAAAAAAAAAGAGAGAGAAAGAGAATGATTATGGAACATAACTTTGAAGGAACTCAATTTGTAACCTGGGATTGGGTTTTTAAAGTGTGATTTAATATAAAGCTTTCCAAGTTCATTAAATTAGTTGTAAAAGGAAGTTTCTCAAACTAGAGATGCTTACCTTCATTAACTTCATCATTTTCTTTGTCTACTTGTGCTTTCAGAACATACCGCTTTATAAGTCTTTTCATTATCTGCTGTTGGGCAAAAATAAATGATTATATCACCAATGATACAAATAAGTAACCTGGATCCTATTCTCCAAAAAAGCCTTACATACCTGTAAAGCAGACAACTCAGGAGAGAGAATTTTTAACTATTTATGAAGGTTTTAGAATTAAACCCTTTTTCAGTTTCTACTGACACTACATATCCCGCTTTTTTTTTTTTTTTTTTTTTACCTAACCTCAGGAATGGAAGATACTTTTTAAAAAGTTAAAAGTTAAGTTGGAAGATTTCAACTCATCATTTATTTTTGAGGGGGCTTTACACAACATTATCACCTTTAAACATTACATTTGTACCTTATCTCTTGCTATTGAAAAAAGTATGAGTCTATGCTCAATGCAGAGAATTTCAAAGTAAGTAAAATAATCTATAATTCTACTACTTAAAGATAATCGCTGTTGTTATTTTGGTTTTTGTCCCTCCAGTACCTTTTCTTTGAATTTTGTATATGTACTAATTAGTACATATATTTTGTTTTCTTAATACCATATAAAGCCCCCTGGTGGTACGCTGGTTAATTGTTCAGCTGCTAACAGAAAGGTCGAAGGTTTGAACACATGAGCCACTCTGGAAGAAAGATGTGGTAGTCTACCTGGTGGCCTAGTGGTTAATGTGTTTGGCTGCTAACCAAAAGGTTGATGGTTTAAACCCACCAGGCTCTTCGTGGGAGAAAGATGAGGCAGTCTGCTTCCATAAAGATTTACAGCTTTGGAAACCTTATGGGGGCAGTTCTACGCTAGTCCATAAGGTCATTATGAGTTGGAATCAATTTGATTTTGATGGCAATGGGTTTTCGGTTTTTTGGACTTCTTTAATACAAAAATGAGATTTTTCTAATAAACGGAAGTCATTGGAAAGTTATGGAATCTTTCCAAGGTGTTATAAAGGAATCCTCCATTCAGCAGAAGAGTTCAAAATAGTCAGTGGGAAATTATTGGGGAAAAAACACCACTTTTATACATGCACAGGCTGAGACTTCTTAATGAAACCGTCACATGAAGTAAAAAGGCAAGCCTAAGAGTAAGAGAAGTTGTTTGCAAAATGTAACAACCAAAAGTCAATGCCCAGAATATTATAGAATTTCTTCTACATTACTAGGAAAAAGACAAAAAGCCCAATAGAATTAGGCAAGGAAATTTAAATTCATAGAAAAGGAAACATGAATTTTCAAACAAATGAAAAGATGTTCAATTTTACTGGCAATCATGGGAGAGTAAATTAAAACAACAAATACCAACTTACCCCTAGCAGTTTGGCAAATATTTTCATTTTGAAAAAAAATATCAAATCCATAAAAAAGCAATGTATTTTATGTACGTTTTTCACCTAGGTTCACCAATTTTAAGAATTTGCCACATTTGCTTTTTCTCTCTGTGTGTCTATTAGTAGTAGTATGTTCTTGAACCACTTGAAAGTAATTTGCAGACATCATGTTTTTTTTTTTTTTTAATCCTTACATATTTTGGTGCATATATGCTAATAAGGTTATTCTCTTACATAGCTGTGGTACAATGATCAAACTTAGGAAAAATAATGTACAATTGTCAAATTTAGGAAAAATAACATGGCCCTAAAATTATCTAATACATAGTCCATCATCGAATTTTGTCTGATTTCCTAATTCTGTATCATTTTCCCAATGAAGGATCATATGTTTCTTTTAGATATTATGTATTTTCAGTCTCCTTTAATCTGTAACAGGTCCTCAGCCTTTCTTTGTCCTTCATGATGTTGATTGTTTTGAAGAGTACGGCCAGCTGTTTTGTAGTAGGCAAACATTTAAAAATCTGGGAATACCATTGTGGAAAGCAGTATGGCGATTCCTTCAAAAGTTGGAAATACAAATACCATTTGACCCAGCCATCCCATTACTAGGTATATACCCTAAAGAAGTTAGAGCCATAACAAGAACAGATATATGCACGCCGATGTTCATCGCAGCACTATTTACAATAGCCAAAACTTGGAAACAACCTAGATGTCCAACAACTGAGGAATGGATAACCAAACTATGGTACATACACACAATGGAATACTATGCAACGCTAAAGAATAACGTAGAATCTGCAAAACACCACATAACGTGGATGAACTTGGAGGACATTATGCTGAGTGAAATAAGTCAGTCACAAAAGGACAAATATTGTATTAGTGCGTTATTGTAAAAGTTAAGGAAAGGTTTGTCTATTGGAGGACATTTTCTTTGTTGGTTACCAGGGGTGGGAGGGGAGAGGAGGGAACGCTGTTAGACAGATAGAGATAAATATTGATTTGGGTGAAGAGAAGGGCAATGTACCAAATGTGAGTGACCAATATGGCAGCATTGAGGATGAGAAAGACATAGAGAGTTACATGGGCAGTACAGACAACAAATATGAACCCTTTTGCATATACAGTACTGAGTTGTCAGTGAAAGCAAACATGGGTATATGGATGGATAGATAGGTGAACAAGCTAAACAATTAGGTATGTCTAAATGGGGAGTGTATCCAAGATCATATATAGGGTTGGCAGACAATGGGCCTATAAGTTCATGTGAATGATCAGAATTCCCAGGTGTATAGTAGAGCTGACAAGGGGCAAGGTTATGGTCATTGCTTGGTCACAGCCAGCTACGCAGAGGGACCGAGTAGTTGATCCTGAGGGCTTGGGACCATAGTCGTGGGGGACATCAAGCTCAATTGGCATAACATACTATACAAAACATTGTTCCACCTACTACCTTGGTGAGTAGTGACTGGGATCTTAAAAGCTAGCAAGCTGCCATCTAGATGCAACAATGGGTCTCTCCTCGTCAAGAAGAAAGAAGAAAACCAAAATTAATGGAAACAATCAGTCCTAGTGACTGGTACACCATCCGATCTGCAACCTATACAACTATGAGACCAGAAGAACTAGATGGTGCCCAGCTACCACTGTCATCCACTTGGAAGAGCTGCCTCCTGAAAGTAGAGTTGACCTTAACAACACGGATGAAGTAAAGCTTTCTAGACCTTTATTTGCTGATGTGCCATGATGCTAAATGAGAGGAAACAGCTGTAAACATTAATTAATAATCAGAGCATGCAATGTATGAATATGAATCAAGGAAACTTGCAAGTTGTCAAAAATGAAAAGGAATGCATAAATACAAGTATCTTAGGCATTAGTGAGCTAAAATGGACAGGTGTTGGGCATTTTGAATCTGACAATCATATGGTCTACTACTCCTGGAATGACAAATTGAAGAGGAACAGCATCACATTCATCATCAAAAAGAATATTTCAATATCTATCCTGAAACACAATGCTGTCAGTGATGGGATAATAACCATAAACATAAAGGATGAACACTTAATATTATCATTATTATTCATATTTTCACACCAACCACTAAAGCAAAAGATGAAGATATTGAACATTATTATCCATTTCTGCAATCTGAAATTGACCAAATGTGCACAAGATGTATTGATAATTACTAGCGTTTGGAATGCAAAAGTTGGAAAAAAAGAAGAAGCATTGGTTGCTGGAAAATATGGCCTTTGTGATAGAAACAATGCTGCTGGAGACCACATGATAGAATTTTGCAAAACCAACAACTTACTTACTGCAAATACCTTTTTTCAATAACATAAATAGCAACTATACACTATACACATTGTAACCACTGTGTCAATCCATCTTGCTGAGGGTCTTCTCCTTCTTCACTGACCTTCTACATGACCAAGCATGATATCATTCTCTAGGGAATGGTCCCTTCTGACCACATGACCAAAGAGGTGAGACAAAGTCTGGACATTCTCACTTCCAAGGAGCATTCTGGCTGCACTTCTTCCAGGACATATTTGTTTGTTCTTCTGGCAGTCCAGGTATTTTCACTATTCTTCATCAATGCCATAATTCAAAGGCATCAACTCTTCTTCTGTCTTCCTTATTCATTGTCCATCTTCTCATGCATATGAGGCAAAAATACTATGGCTTGAGTCAGGTGCACCTTAGTCTTCAAAGTGACATCTTTGCTCTTCAACACTTTGAAGAGGTCTTTTGTAGCAGACATTCCCAGTGCAAAACAACATCTGATTTCCTGACTGCTGCTTCCATGGGTGTAGACTTTGGATCCAAGTAAACTGAAATCCCTGACAACTTCAATTTTCTCTCTGTTTATCATGATGTTGCTTATTGTTCCAGTTGTGAGGATTTTCATTTTCTTTATGCTGAGGTGTAATCCATACTGAAGATCATAGTCTTTAATCTTCATCAGTAAGTGCTTCAAGTTCTCTTCCCTTTCACCAAGCAAGGTTGTGTCATCTGCATATCACAGGTTGTTAATGAATCTTCCTCCAATCCTGATGCTGTGTTCTTCTTCACATAGTCTAGCTTCTTGGATTATTTGCTCAGCATACAGACTGAATACATATGGTGAAAGGATAAAACCCTCATGTACACCCTTCCTGACTTTAAGGCATTCAGTGTACCTTCTTCTGTTTGAATGACAACTTCTTGGTGAATGTACAGGTTGCTCATGAGCACAATCAAATGTTCTGGAATTCTCATTCTTTGAAAGGTTATCCATAATTTATGATCCATATGGTCGAAGCCTTTGCATAGTCAATACAACACAGATAAATATCTTTCTAGTATTTGCTTTTGGCCAAGATCCATCTAACATAAGCAATGATTATCCCTTGTTCTATGTCCTCTTCTGAACCTTTCTTAAATTTTTGGAAGTTCCCTGTCAATACAATACTGCAACCATTTTTGAAGTATCTTCAGCAAAATTTTATTTGCATGTGATATTAATGATATTGTTCGATAATTTCAATATTCTATTGAATCACCTGCCTTTGGGATGAGCACAAATATGATCTCTTCCAGTCAGTTGGCCATGTAGCTGTCTTCCATATTTCTTGGCATAGATGAGTTAATGCATCTAGCACTGTATCCATTTGTTGAGACATCTCAATGAGTATTTCATCAATTCCTGAGG